ATTATTGTTATTTGCTGAGTAAATAATCCTCTACACAAAAAATTCCACCAAAAGAAGTGGGTAGGGAGGGAAAGAGGAATAAAGGAGTCAAAATACAATAAAGGGGGATAAAGGAGTCAAGAGTCTTCACTAGAAGAATGTAAACATGTACTGCAAACATGTACTAAAAACTCTTGTTAATGCAGAGTCAGATTTGAAGAGAGACTGGAGTATATTCTACTGCAAAACCATTCCTGTTTTGGTGGCGATGGCATTTCTTCTCCTTCAGTGCCTTTTGGAAACTTTCCTATGACTTCTGCACCTTCCCTCCTACTGTACACCTTGACCATTCCTTTTCATTGGTAATTTGTGTCTCTGTGGTGGCCCATTTTGTATTAGAACTCAGTAGGAAACCTTGGCCTGGTGCCTGAGTCAGATCCTCAGCTGGGTATCTCATTGTGCTTTGATTTGGACCCCAGAGCACAATCATCAAGTAAGAGCAATATTCAAAATGAAGTTGAAAAAATACCGGGAACTGTGAACACTGGGTGCTCACCTCACCTTTATCGAATTCCACTGAGTGACCTGGGACTTTGTTCTGCTCACCTGAACCTTCATTCTCACTCATCTCAAAGGCCACTGTCGATGTAGAGTAGTGTCCAGCCAACCTTTATTTTCAAGGTCCAGATAATAGACAGTTTAGATTAATCAGGCCAGTGCCAACTTCCCAACTTTTCTGTTCTTCCGTTGTAGGGAAAAGTAGTCACAGACAGTAGAAGGACGGGAGTGGCTGCACCCCGTCACATCTTATTGGGACAAGCAGGAAGGAGGCTGGTGGATTTGGGCCGTGACTTTCCTTTGCTGAATCTTCTTTCGGCGCATCTGACTTTGAGGCGCATCTCCCCTTGTTTTTCCTGCTAGTTGCCTGTTTGGCTTTGTCCGACTTTCCTGTGTGTTTTAAACGTCTGTTTACATAGCTCTTTCTAGTCGTCCTTCCTTGCTGCATCCCATCCCAGCCTGTAACACTGCACAGTTGTTTTCTGTGTAAATGGAGCTATTGATGGCCCCTTGGAGGTATTTTTTCTCCCCTAGAGCAGAGTCTTTCTACTTATCTGCCTGTCTTCAGCCTGTTCTGTCCTCAGAGAGTCAAGTGATGTGAAGAAGTCCAGGGCGGGTTTTGTTTGTTTGTTTGATTTTTGTTTTTGAAATCCTGGGCTCAACCTGAACAGGAGGAAACTGAAAGGTTTCCCCACCATTTCCTGGCATCCCTATGTCTCATCCAACTCCTGAAAAGACTTGCCAAGCTCTCTCTTTGCACTGAAATCTCCCACTGTATAGCTTTCTGGTGAGTAACAGTTCTATTTCCTCTGGAAGGAATCCGAGTGTTGTGGGTAGGGCAGAGCGATACAGGGACAGATCCTGAGCCCCGCGGTGGAGAGTGTGAATATGAGGAGAGGAGAAATAAATCCTGCGTTGCACTTCTGAAGTTGGGCTTGGTCTAGGGGTTGCAGGGCTGGACTTTAACGCACTTCATATCCCATGCTAGTGTCTCTCCCTCGCATTTTACAGCGGGAACCTAGATACTATGCAACATCTCTAGCACTGATGTTTGGAGTCAGATTAAATTGAGATAATTTCTCTCCTAGTCATTGACTGCTCCTATTAAGACCATGACGTGCTTTCTTGGAGAAGCAGAAGAGCAGGTGCCTTGGCTCACAAGCTATGAACCACCGCCTCGGTCACAGGCAGACACACAAAGGGCAGGGCGAGATCAGATCATGAACTTGGTGCTCATCTTTAAAAAAGGTGTTATCAGCTGCAGGAGGAGGCCTTTTATTGTCATCTGTGAGCCCGGAGTGAGGTGAGAAGACAGGCAGGCTGTCACCACGGCTGAAGGCAGCATGATAGAGTTTGAAAACTAAGAGGAGCCTCTGGACCTCGCGGTTTCACGGTTGTGATGAGTCCTAGTCTGTTGCTTGCACGTGGGTGGACACTTCTGAGGAGGAGGATGTGGCTCAAAACATCTTGGAGGTGGGCAAGGCTCTGGGCACCTTGCAGGGCAAGACTCAGGACACTGGGTCGCCTTGTGAAATTAGTGGCTGTCTCAGCCCTGCCCAAAGCACTCACTCTTCTCTCTGCCTTTGTGCAGGGACTTCTGCTTTTCCTTCCCGAGTGGTATACTTCAGTGGTAGCTGTCTGTGCCCGTGACCAAGTGCCCAGGACACACGCCTACTGCTGTCTTTGGGTTATCACTTTCCTCCTACTCTCAGCTCTGATCCTCCCCTAAATCCAGGCTGACCTACGTCATCGGGTAAAAGACTGCCCTCCAGCAACCTCCTCATTCCGTGAAACGACTCACAGACAACCAATACTCCGTGAGACAGGACAGGGTTGATCTGCACCCTACTTCCCACCTTCCATGGTCTGCAAACAGAACTGTGATACAACAGTCCCCAAATACAGTTCTTGTGCTGAGAAGTCTCAGTGGATTTCTCAGACTGTCTCATTAAAATTTCTCTCCTGGCCTTTTCTATCTTTCCAATCTAGAGTTCTTTTCTGGTGTTATCTAGCGTAATATGTACTCTGGACTTATGGGATTTATTTTTGCTGAAGCATTAGAAAAACGTGTTTTTGTCTCGCACCACTTGCTCAGCACCTACCACTCCCCACACATGATCTTTCCCCCTTCAAAAGTCCTGCCTCCCTAGACACCGCTCCTTTGTCCACACACTGTGGAGGGCCCCAAGGGCATGGAGACATAGGGCATCTCTGCCCTGCTCCTGTCCTTCCTGAGGGTGAAGGAAATTTGTGAGTCACTCAGTACCTGACAAACAGGAGGTTACCACACAGAGGAGTTAGACATGTCCTCTTAGGACCGAGAAATAGGGCACTGGGGAAATGCTTTGTTTTCAGAAAATTTGACTGAGCTTTAGATCGAAGATACAGATTGAGCCCTCCTTGTGCCACCTTGACCCTCTGAAGCAGGATGCTAAGGACAGACAGTAACTGGGATTCTTTGGAAGGAGGGATGAGTTCCCTCCGGGCTTGCGCTAGTCCCCATCCGTGCTGGATGATGTGTGTTTGGATCCAGAGTGACATTTTCTTCATAAGGGATTTTAAAGGAACAGAAGAGCTAGGTGCATACATAGACGTATAGAGAAATGATGTAACTGTAGCAGTTACTGTAGAAATGTTCAAATAAAAGTTTTCAATGTCAGAGTTGAAAAAGAAAGTCAGCCATAGAGATCTGGAGTGCCCAGACCCACATCCATCTCGGGGGCTCTCACTGGCACTGAGAGGCAGGGTTTCACTTGGTTGTGAAGCCAAAGCCCAGATATCCAGAAAGAAGAAAGGGTGGTATTTGAGAGAGGAATGCATTGAAGGATTTGCGTTAAAGCCATAGGACAGACTTGAAAAATAAGACTCCCAGACATGCGACATTCTGCCCCTACCTGGATCCTCCGTCTGAGGTTTGCTTTGAACAAAGAGGTTGGAAAGGGGATTTAAATAATATTTCAAGAAGGATGATTTTATGGAGGTTGTCCTACAGAGGGAGGGCGATGGATGAAAAATTTGAGGCTTCAAAAGGAAAGTACAGGAGCAGAACTACACGTAGAACAGATATCTGCTCTAAAATACCTCCTGGTAAATGGTCTTCCAGCCTTAATCAAACACAGCAATGCAAGCCTTAGTAAATAGTAGGCATTGAGTTCTTTTATTAATTGAATTAGTTAGAAACCATTTCCTTGATGAGAATCAAGGGATGTCATGCACAGGTACAGATTCTCAATGATGAATGTGATCACAAGGTATACCTAAATGTCCCAATAAACTCAACAAAAATTATTGAAGAAATTCTACCTGACAGTTTTATAAAAAAGAATATAAGCTTTGGAAGTTGCAGAGAAAAATGTCTTGCATACTCTACAATGCAGAGAGCCTGAGAAATATTTAGCCAAAGAAAGAAGAGAAATGGAAATCTTGCCATAATTTGTGCCTTACAATACACTTGGATTGTGCTCCTTACCCAGGCATAGCTCAGATGGATTTGATCTGTCCACACCTGCAGTTCCCAGCTGGAGGAAAGCCCAGTAGACTGTGAAAATATCCATCAAGACATTGGAGAACTTCCCTAGAGAGACTCATGCTCTTGTTCTCTTCATCTGACCAGAGAAGAAGAAAGAAACCCCCTGGCCTGTGCATGATCCCCATCGCACTCTGATGAGGCCCTTGATGCTTTTCCAGTGTCATTCCAGGGATTTCCCTCCTAGTCTCTGCCTGCCTTCACAGGCCTCTTTTCCCCTCAGAAGTGCTTCTACTACTTTTCTGCAGGAGAGCAGAGAGATGTCCATTGGGAGTAGATCCATTTTATGGGGAATCAGAGAAGAAACATCAGAGGACTTGGAACAAGCCCAGAGTCTGGAGGCAGAGGAGGTGAATTTGTTAGTGTTTCTGAAGACTTGTGTGTTTGTTTGTTTTTTTGTTACCGGGGATCAAACTCAGGACCTTGCGCTTGGGAGGCAGGCGGTGGCACCACTGAGCTACATCCCTGGCCCCAGGAAGACTTGTAAAGCAAATAGAAACAAAAGACCTCATTGGGGTTGTGAGGTAAAGCACTCTAGAACATTTCATGTAGATTTAAGCAGTTCTGGTGTGTTAATTTTTCAGCCATACTTCCTTCTGGAAACCTTAATAAAGTTGTTGAATCCCATGGAGACAGAAGCTAAACAGGTTTTACGTTCTTTTAGTGACCTTGTACCACAAGCAGGAGGCAGTGTGACAGAAGAGGCTAAACAGAAAGTCCTGGCATGTTTGGACCAGAGGTGGAGAACACGGCGGTGCTGTCACACTAAGCCGCATCCTGAAAGAGGATGTGGGAGGAATCACTGACTCAGGGAAGAAACCCAATAGACTATAATGTATAATAATGTCTTTCTTCTTGGGTTTGTATACAGGTAGCGTCTCCTAGGTGATGTAGTGTTACTCTTGCTGCTGGAAATAATGGAATGGAGGTAGGCATAGATGAGAAAGTACCTAAACATCTGGGTCGGGGTGGCTTCTGAGGGTCACTTGCTTTCGTGTTTTTACTGGCCTTGGGGTACTTGGCACGGGAGCACTTGTGTTAGCTCGAGAGTGGGGTGTATGGTTCAAACACCTTGGGTGGATAAGGCTCAGGCAACTGGAAAGGGCAGGGCTCCAGAACCTGGGCAGGCAGTTGGCGAGGAACTTTGTTACAGCTGCTGTTGTTATCTCCCTAGATTGCAGATAAAATTTTTTTTAAAAAGATGAAGTAATTGAGACTGAGACAATATTAGTGAAGGAAAAAATTATCCCAAAGGGGAGAAGCACCCTCTCTTATCACCTCTTCCTCTAGTATCAGCGGCAACATGTCCCCACTGAACTTCTTCCCAGGACCGCTCACCCGACAAGGGCCTCCGTAGAACATGGCTTCCCACAAGGTGGCCCTGCGCTGGACTGTCCCACCGATGGCTCTGGGGCTGCCCCCCAGGGCCTGCTGCCTGTGTTCTGTCCTTTGAACATTCTCACGCTGCATGGAGGCAGGGGACAGGAAAGTAGGTGGAAAGTGCGCGGGAGGTGACCCTTCAATACAAGGGATAATGTGTCCACAACAGTGGGGGACAAGTTGGGGACAACCGAGCACCAGGCCCCTTTAACCAAAGCTGTCGATACACATTTCATTTGGAGGGGCATAGTCTCATTTTCCGCCCCAAACCTTCTCCTTTCCCTGAGATTTCTCCTCCTTGCTCAATGCCCTTTGGCATCTCAGCACACACTAAGCGTTAGAAGGCGGGAGCAGTTCTGAGTCAGGAGGAGACCTCAGCCAGGTGCCCCGGCAGAACACTCAACTGGGGGTCTCCTGTTCTGACTTGGCTCCTGCAGCTTAACCCCCGAGTAAGAGAAATGTTAAAAGTGAGGTTGAAAAAAAGGCTGGGAGCTTTCAAAGCTGAGTTCTTACCGCACATTTATAGTAAACAGTACACATTTATCATCAAAGGCCTGTCGTCCCTTGTCTGTGCTGCGCTGGTGAAAAGCTGTAGCAGGCGGCAGCTGGGTAGGAGTGGCTGTGCTTCAGCCATGTCTTGTTACAGGCAGGTGATGGGCGATGACCTTCCTGTGCTGAGTTCTCTTTTGATGTATCTGACTTTGTTCCCCATCTCACTTCTACCTGCTCACCTTCTGTCGCGCCTTGTCTTATTTTCCAGTCTGTCTCATGCATCTATTTACGTTGCTGTTTCTGATCATCTGTCTTTCCTTGCTGTGTCTCACCCCAGGTTGTAACCCTGTACAGACTTCTGATTCTGTCCCACAGCAGCCTACTGATGGCCCATTTGAGGGCTTTCTGTCCCCCAGAGCACTCTCCCCTCTCTCCTGCTCGTTCAACCTGTTCTGTCCTCAGGGATCCAAGTGGCACAGAGAAACCTAAAGCTTGGTCTTCTTGGCCTGGCTTCAACTTGGGCAGGAAGACACAGAAGGGGATTCCCCACCATTTCCCGGTGTCCTTATGTCTCACTCAGTTTCTGGAAAATCTTCCCCAGCTCCTTTTCATACTGATAACTCAAGTTCTGCCGCGCACGGTGAATAACAACATTTCTATTTCCTCTGCAAGGATTCTGCGCATGGGAGAGCTGGGTGGGGCTGGGGATTCAGGGTCAGATGCATTGCGTTCCTGTGCACCTGGGTCTTTCAATGGATGTGTGAGTAGGAGAAGAGAAGAAGAAAGAAACTGTGGGCTGGGTTTTTTGGAGCTGGGATTTATTTTTTCAGGGAGTGTAGGCTCGAATTTAATGTAGCCCATGTTCATATTGCTTTTGCCTCTTGCATTTTACACACGGCCAGCACCACACATATCTTTAGCCCTAATGTTTGAGGTTAATTAAGTTAAGATTATTTTCCCCAAATACCATTAAGTGCCCTTACTAAGGGACCAGATCCTGAGTGTAGGGAGGGATACGTGAGAGAGGCCCAGCGCAGGCGCCAGGAAACCTTGTACTCTTGTAGGAAATAGATGTGAGTGAATTTTTGTGACTGGGAAGAAAAACATTTTCCAACATGATTTTGAAGCATTTATTTCCCACAAAATCAAGAGGAGACAGAAGTACTTTTTAATAATTGGTGTCTGTAGTGGAGGCTGCGATGCGCCACTCACATCCTCCCTTCAGGGTGAGGTGCTGACCTCTGCATCTTCTCTCTGCTCTTTGGCTATGGCTGAGTCGAGCTGCATCCTCCGAGGAGCGGTTCTTGGCAGCGCGGTACCCTCGCCAGAGCAGCCCGTCTCTAATGACCTGCTGCCGCGTGAGGAGAATATCTTACTGCCAAAATTTACCGAAAGGTTATCCTAGTGCCACAACCTCTTACAATTGGCTTAGACTTCTTTTGAGAGTAAACTTTGCCTCTTTGGTCACTTCTGTCTCTTTCCTCCTTGCTGACTTTTCCCTGAAAATATCCCCCAGTGTCACGTACTTTGCTCCCGAGTCTCCTTTGCAGTACGTTCTCTCACGCAGTGACTTAAGGCGATCCCTGTGAATTTGGGGATTCCCTGAGAGGAGTGCATATCATGCAGTGTTGTGGCCAAAATAAAACTTTCATTTTGCTCCACTGTCTACTTGTGGCTGATGCCCTGCTTGATGGGCCACCTTTATCAGAGTGCTCTACTCATCCCCCAGCTGCTGTAAGCGTGGACAGGAGGGGTCCACCGTGGCCCCTTCTCCAGAAAGCTGGCCTTGGTCAGGTTAGTGACGTCGCCTTGCCAGCAGGTCATACCCTCCCTCTTTTGATGCACATCTCCCTTTTATCTTAATGTCTGACGTCTCCATGCACAGTTTACTTCCCACGACTGTCTTTTGTGAACCAGGCGATATCTAGGCTTTATTTCATTTCCCCTCATTATTCGCCTTTCTTGTTGTCCTTCTGTTTTCCTGTCTTTTCCCCTGAATTACACTTCCTTGTTTCGCTGTGTGCCTCAGCCCACTTCCTCATCTTGCCTCAATATTCTAACCTGAGGGCAGGGGATTTAACTCAGTGGTTCCACCACCTGCCTTGTAAGCACAAGGTCCAGAGTTTGATCCCCCGTACCAAAAAAAAAAAAAAAAAAAA